CCAGAACAACATACCGATATCAGCGATAAGTCCCCAGGTGGCGCTCATGAACATCGACCTTGTGCCATCGTGCTGTGTATCGACAATATAGAGTCTGAGAGGGATGTAGTGTGGACGAGTTGCCATGAGGCAACATTCGAGTATGAAGAGATTGCGAGGAGAGAACGGCTCGCTGAAATTGTAATCAGTAGGTAAATATAAGAATTACCAAAATGTTTCGCAAGGATGTTGGGTTGTGAACAAAACTTCGGCGGGACTAGAACCCGCACCTCTCGCTTTCCGGGCAAGTGCGCTACCAGTTACGCTACCGGGGCACCATTTCATCCCAACTCAGCTTTTCATGGTATACGTACCATAGCTTTCAGCACTCACACGTATAACGTGTTGAGCCGGTTAGCCGATATCGGCAATGAACCGCAAGGCTGAAAGCTCTATCAAAAACTGAGTTGGGGCAAAACGGTGCTTCAGTAGCGTAATTTGTAGAGCGCTTGCCTGGCAAGCGGGAGGTTCGGGTTCGAGTTCCACCTTAGGCCGATGTCAGACTTTGCGAATCGCGAGATGCGCAAAGTCTGACATCGGCCTTACGCGAATGTTTTGTTCATAGCCACGAATTGTGGTACATTCGCAACGCGAGCTGCACGTCAATACCGTCCGAAAAAAGTCGAAATTATTGCAGAACTAGTGGAAAATAAGATTTCACAATTGGTTATTTAGACATTCTTCGATAGATTTAACTCGATGCGCCAAAACATAAAGAAAACACATCTAAGAATATTTGACATAAAATGAAAAACGAATTTCGAATAGATCCTACTTGCAAGCGTAGCAAATCGCAGCTGCCAGAGCATTGCTGGTTCCACCGGGAACGTGGCAGAGCGGAAATTTGAGAGCGCGATCGCGGTCTTTTCTCATGAGCAGGCCACAGATAATCTGGAAATCGTGTTCAACATTCAAATGTTAGTCATGTTTACAAAACAGTTCGAGCTTATGGAAGTTGTTCCTGTCGAAATGGGCCTGTTTCTTCAAATTTCGAAGAGCGAAAGAGGATGAAGCTCTGCTTTCATCCTTCCGTGCAAGGTTACAGTGCTATGTACCTACAGTGTTTACTCTTCCCATCGTTGTCAGGGAGCTAAGATCTCGCAGCTGCACTGTGGCAGAACGCCATGCTCAATTATACGTCAGTTGCGACTTTGCTGATTTTAAGGGTAGATGAGAGGTTTTGAAAGCAGAGCCAACCGTTGCAGATTAGAGATTTTGAAAGCAGGGCGATCCGTCCTCGCAAACAAATTTCGCTGACCTCCCTCTTAGACTCGATACTTCACCACCCCATAAGTCTAAGGAATCCGCCACCTCCCACTAATAATGACCTCCTCTACAATCCATCAAATTACCCTCAACATCCATGGCTTTCACTAATTTTGGTTCTAAGAGCATACTCAACTCCGCTTTCCTCAGGACACGTCAAGCGGGAGAGGGAGAGGAGAGGTAAATCATGAAGCAGCCAAATCAGCAAGTACCTTTCCATTTACAAACAATTTGATCTAGTCGACCCAACCATTGCCCTCTCCCTTCCGAAAATACCACCATTGCGACCCCCTCGTTCGAACAGTGACAAAGACATTGACACTATTGAAATTCGCACTAAAAATGGCATATGTTCAAACTGAGCCTTATGACTGCCATATTCGATGAACCTAACTGCTAGAGAATAGACCGAAGAATAAGTTCAGCCCCATAGTTCCGCCTCTGTCATTTCGCATCCATCACGAAAAACTGGGTTAAACAATCATTTTCAACGCTGAAGCAGAACTGAACGATATCAACAAAAATCACCTTATCTGTGCAGCCAGGTCCCCGGTTACACAACATATCTACCGACAAGTTTCTCACAGCCCACGCCCTCCGTAGAATGACACTCTTTTTGTCTTTATTATCTGACTGATATCGAGACAGTTAAGCCGATTCGAAGCAGGACTGTAAGGCTGTGCAGGTCGCACGCCGTCGTGCGAATCGCGCGACTGATCGCAGAAATTGAAGTGCCTCCGATCAATAACTCCATCGCTGCGTATTTCTGTTTGTAGGTGATACTGCATGCTGCCTTTTTCCTGATTCTAATATTTCATATCAATGTCTGCAAAATGTCAAATGGGGCTATTGCTCTTTTGCAGATCGCGAATCGCGCGCGAGTTGCGGACTCTGATACCAATTACTAATAGACACTGTAAAGAAATTTTATACCTCAGTCACGAGTCCATCTCCACTCATAACCAATACGGCGTCGTACTTATCAATGTCCAAATCGAGCATGATTTTCGTCGCGTGTCGAGGGTACTCTAAAGCATTCAGCTGAGCGTGACCTAACAGAAAGGTTACTGAATTAAAATTGGTCGGCAGAACCATAACAAGGCTTCGCTTTCATGAATCGTATAACTTCGTAGAATGATGTCAGACCGAATTCCGGCAGCCTGCAGCACTTTTGCTCCATGATCTGCCCATAATTTTTCGGCTCGTTTTTGTCCACTGAACGGGTTGATCAACACCAGCACACGATTGTTGAGCTCCTTCTTCAGCAAGTGAGCTGCAATATCCTTCAGCAGTAAACTTCACCCTCCAGTGGTCAGTCATGGTGAAAGTTCTCAACCGACTAATGATTTTGAGGGCGGAAGTGATGTTGTCTGGCAAGTGGCGCTGCTGACCATACGCACGGCACAGGGATCAAATCCCCAATCGGATCTCGCTCAAGTCAACCAACCTTCCAAAACGATCGTTTGCAACCTCTTATGCTCGAAAGTGACTTGAAAAATGACTCGCAACCGGATCAGAAGGCATTTCATATTCGTCCAGACTTTGTCCGTAGCAGTTAGGTTTCCTAGAAAGAATGGAAAGCTTGACCGAAACAGGCAAGATCAGATTTGAGACTCGACTATGGACCATGTAAGCGCTAGCCGCGCCAACTGCCACTGCCCCTTCTCTGCCATGGGAAAATCAAAAAAAAAAACAAATAACAAAGAAAGCAAAATTAAGAAATCGCAACAGGTGTTGAACTTCGATAATTGCCTTTCTACTTACGAGGGAGTCTTCGTCGTATTCGAGTTTGAAGATTCTTGTGAAAATGCTGAGCTTCATCTGATGAACTGAAGGTCACCCGCTGAGGTCGGTAAGTTCTTCGGTTCCTGATCAGTGGAAAATTCTCAACAACTACCGTACTCGTCGAGGCATTGTCTTCTAAAACAGAATATATATATATATATACAAAGCTCAAAATTTGGCAATGTAACTCATCTATCCGTGAAATATTGAAAAGGTTAATATTAAAAACAATATGATTTACGCAGTATCCTCGGTGATTTATCATGGCGAAAGTAAAGTTAAGAACCCGTCAAGCTCAAAGGCCTATGCATTCAAGGAGGATTCCACTGATAACTTCGAAGTAAAAGAGGGGAAAGTTTACTTAAAGTGTGTAGACGGGAACGTGCGGACCTACACGCAAATTCCCCCCAGGCGAAGGATATGCCCGGCGACCTAGCATGGCCGCCCGAGCCGCTATCGCCGCTGCACGCCCAGCCGCTCACCGTCTGGACCTAGCCGCCTAGCAGAGAGAGCGATAGCGTTGATGAGGTCAGCACCGATGAGACACGCCTACGTAAATCAACAGGCAAACAATGGGCTCATTCCTCAGGTTCTAAGATGTTTTTTTGAAGGGCGGAAGTGGTGTAGTGGCAAGTGGCACGCTTACCACGCGAGCGGTCCGGGGATCAAATCCTGGGTCGTGAGTCGCCCGGGCCAACCAAGCCTTCCATCCCTCCGGGGTCGGTTAATTGGTACCAGACTTGTCTGGGAGGATAAAAACACTGACTTGTACATCGGCTGGCCCCGCAAGTCATTGTATAGGCCACATCGCATTCAAACGCCACTACGAATGTACAAATGGAAGTAGAATGCGTGCCGCATCCCAAAAAGGGATTGATCAACGGCAAATGCTTTATCCTTTATCCTTTTATTGCTTTTTTGGTTTTTTCTTCACCCCTGCATCACTGACCATCTATAATTTCTAGTGGGCTATTTTTTCATCGTAAACTCTACCTTTAAAGTGGGGTGTTTTGGTATGGTATTTTGTGCGGAATGAGCAAATCTCAACATTGCACCAGGGGTCCTCTACAGCTAAGAAATGCTACGAGCATCTTTTCTATCGCAATTCAAATTTTCGAATATAATAGAATTGTAATTTTTATGGGAAAGATTTTATGCTCTACGCTATGCAATGATTTTAATTTTGTAAATGTATTATCATGGGGGGGGGGTCAGAAAAAAAGAGGTAGTCTTGCCCGTATAGCTTTTGGTACTGTATGCTGTAAAGAAGCAATTATCGGCCAGGTGATGGGAAATTTTGAAGGGAGAAAGAGCTCCGGGGTGGGTGAGCAAGTTGCTCTGAGCAAGAGGAATTTTTCCATTTGAATGTTCTCATTTCAAGAAAAATGATTCACTGACCCCTACACCTTTTTGAAGTGGTTTTGCTTATCCATCGTGTTCTAATAAAAGTAGTGATCACATGCTTGCGGGCGGAGCGGTTCTGATGACGTCATTGGGCGAGACTAGAGGGCGGCATTGGGAGGTAGTCCCATCACAGACCCAAGGCGCTCAAAGCGCTCGCACTGGAAGGTTCACCATTC